GCCTGCCTGCTGCCTGTCTGCCTGCCTGTCTGCCTGTCTGTCTGCCTGCCTGCCTGCCTGCTGCCTGTCTGCCTGCCTGCCTGCTGCCTGCCTGCCTGTCTGCCTGTCTGTCTGCCTGCCTGCTGCCTGCCTGTCTGCCTGTCTGCCTGCCTGCTGCCTGCCTGTCTGCCTGTCTGCCTGTCTGCCTGTCTGTCTGCCTGCCTGCCTGCTGCCTGTCTGCCTGCCTGCTGCCTGCCTGCCTGCCTGCCTGCCTGCTGCCTGTCTGCCTGCTTGCTGCCTGCCTGCCTGCCTGTCTGCCTGTCTGTCTGCCTGCCTGCCTGCCTGCTGCCTGTCTGCCTGTCTGCCTGCCTGCCTGCTGCCTGTCTGCCTGTCTGCCTGCCTGCCTGCTGCCTGTCTGCCTGCCTGCCTGCCTGCCTGCCTGTCTCTGTCTGCCTGCCTGTCTGTCTGCCTGCCTGCCTGCCTGCCTGCCTGTCTCTGTCTGCCTGCCTGTCTGTCTGCCTGCCTGCCTGCCTGCCTGCCTGCTGCCTGCCTGTCTGCCTGCCTGTCTGCCTGCCTGCTGCCTGTCTGCCTGCCTGCCTGCCTGCCTGCCTGCTGCCTGCTGCCTGCCATGCTTTCCACTGTGATGGCCAAGGACTCACACTCTGAAACTGAAAGCCCCCAATAAACTCTTTCTTCTCTGAGTTACCTTGGTCACGGTGCTTTGTCAAAGCAGTAGAAAAGGAAGACACGTACCATATTTGAGGAAGCTAGCTGAGTGAGTGCCTCTCAGATCCAGTTTTAGCTCCTCCATCATGTCTCCTGTCAGTTCATGTTACACTGAGCATCTGCATAGAGTCAAACTGTACTTCTTTAAAAATAGACCACAGCCGCCAGCAAAACTGCTTCTTAGGGCAAAGGTGCTCTTCACCAAGCCTGTGTCCACATGATGGCGGTAGAGAAATGACTCCTGCAAGTTGCTCTCGGATCTTCGCACATGTGCTATGGCACATAACACACACACACACACACACACACACACACACAATGTTAAATCATTTAAATGTTAAAACAAATAAAAATAATCATGTGGGCTCCCTCTCCATTGTAAATGTTGCAAATGTTTCTTACCTTTCTTCCCAGTGCATGATTTGTACCACTTCGGTGCCTTTCTGCACTTACTACATTCCTTGTTACTGTGACCAAATGCCTGAAAAGAAGCAACTCAAGGGAGGAGATATTATTTTGGCTCATGGTTTCAGGAAAACAGCCCGTCATGACAGGGAAGGCGTGGCAGTAAATAAATCCATGGCGTGGGAATGTGTAGCAGAATTTGTGTCACATATGGGTTGGTCAGAAAGCAGATAAATTCCTGGAAGAAGAGCCAGGTTATCACCCCAATGCCTGCCTTCTAGCGACTCATTCATTCCAGCTGGGCCCCATCTTCTAAAGGTTCCACAACCTCCCAAATGGTGCTAACATCTTGGGACTAAATGTGCGAACACACAAGCCTCTGGAGAGACATTTCACAAACGGACCACAGCACTTTCCACGAGAATTGAATGTGACAAATGCCTGCTACATGTGACAAAGACGTGGAACGAATGGATGTATCAATCAATGAAACAATCAGTTACTTTATCCAACTCTAAATTGTTTTTGTTCAGCAACATAGGATGGCCAAATTCTGTAGTAATGGACTTCATTACTTTGCCTCTTCTTACTGAGCAGTGGTGTAAGTTTGAGACCAGACTGGTCTATAGAACAAGTTCAGGATAGCCAAGGTTACACAGAGAAACCCTGTCTCGAAAAACAAAAAACAAAACAACAACAACAAAATCTTCCCTTTCCCTCTACTTTATTGTACTGCACTTGTCTATTTTAAGTCCCCATTATCTTTCACGTGGCACTCTTCCATAGTTTCAGGTTCTTCAGTTACATTCTAGTTTCTTGCACACCCTTCTTCAAAAGTCCATGGGAGCCTCACACTTGGCAGCATCCCGCAAGCCCTGCAGGCCTCCTGCCTTGCCCCCTCCTGCACCCTTTACCCCACAAGGCTCTCATGCCCACTTCCACTCTCCTCCATCTTAGGTCTTTAACTGCACTTGCTGGTTTGGACTGGTATACTACTGACTTGATCATCCAAGAAATGTTGGATTTCTTCACTGATGTAGAACCCCCTTGAGACCAGTGGCTATACAGGTTTTCTGGGTCTGTGATAATGAATAGCAGTGAACCCGGTGGCTTAAATGGTAGAACTTTTTGACCCACTGTGCTAGATAGAGACTAGAAGGCCAAGATTAAGGTGCTGAGAGGCAAATATGGTTTCTGAAGCTGCTCTCTTTGGCTTGCAGTTGGCTGTCTTATTGCTGTCTTGTCTTCACACGGCTTTTTATTTTTTTCACATGCACACACCTCGAGTTTATCTTTGTGCCCAAGTTTACTTTCAGAAGCCTGTTATCCAGGTGCTGGAGAAATGACTAGGTGGATAAAAGCACTTAGTACTCTTTCAGAGGACCAGAATTTTACTCCCATCACCCACATCAGAGATACACAATCTCCCACATTTCCAGCTTTAGAAAATCTGATATCCTCTTATGGCCTTCTTGGGCACCCAAATACATGTGCATATAACACGCACACACAATTTTAAGATTAAAAGCAAATCTTTAAAAGACACCAATCATACTAGATTAGAGATTCCTGCGATGAACTCATTTTGACTTAATCACCTCACCAAAGAACATATCTCTAAACTGTCATCTTTTGTAGGTATTGGAGTTAGTGGGCTGGAAATATAGCTCATTAGGTAAAGTGCTAGCCCAGCATATGCAGAACCCTGAGTTTGGTTTCCAGTGTCACATCAAACTGGGCATAACAACCCGCATCTGTAATCCCAGCGTTTGGGAAGTAGAGGTATGATGATCAGAAGTTCAAGACCATCCTTGGTCACATGATCAATTTGAGGCCATCTAGAAATACATGAGAACCTGTCTCAAAAACAAAGTACTAGGAGATAAGTTTTCAAGATAGAAATTCTTGAGGAGGAAGGCAGTTGGACGTACGACAGGGACTATATCACTTCTGCTCATACCCCATTATCCAGAACAGCGCTGCTCTCGAGACTTGATTTACAGCCCTACATAAATTACTGCATTTCAAACCCTCACTTTGTTCTTCCCCACAACCACGTGCTGTTTCACAGGCGCACGTTGTGGCAGGAGGATCCTCAGTGGCCACGGGAAATATTTGCTATCACCATCAAGTCACTTTTGTCTGGTTTGTCTGTCACCCTAATGGGCTGCTGGGAAGTTTCTGCAGACAGCTGATGGCTCGCACAGCTGGGCCTTTTTAGAAGATGAGTCACAGATGAGTAGGTGGGAGGATGGGAGGATGGGTCTGCTCAGGTCTGGGAAAGCAATTTAACAATGAGTACTAGAATTGAAAGAAAGAAAGAAAGAAAGAAAGAGAGAGAGAGAGGGAGGGAGGGAGGGAGGGAGGAAGGAAGGACAGAAGGAGGGAGGGAGGAAGAAAGGAAGGAAGAAAAGGAGAGAGGGAGGGAGGGAAGGTAAGACAGAAAGAAAGAACGAAAGAAAGAAAGGAAGGAAGGAAAAAGGAAAGAAAAAGAATCTTGCAACTTTATAACGTCATAGCTAGTAATTCAATCTGAGGACCTGGTAGAGGGGAGCTCAAGATAAGCTTATATCCTAATGTTAAATTCTTTTCCTTTCCTTTCTTTTCTTTACTCCTTTCCTTTTCTTTCTTTCTTTCTTTCTTTCTTTCTTTCTTTCTTTCTTTCTTTCAGATAGGGTCTCATTCTGTAGCCCTGGCTGGCCTGGGAGTCAAGAAGATCTACCTGCCTTTGCCTCCCAAGTGCTGGGATTAAAGGTGTAGGGCCACCATGACCCAGCCCCATACTTTATTTCTTTAGAAAAAATATATAAAGATATATATTCTTGCTATTATAATAAATAACAAGTATCTGAGGAGAGTGCCTAGTATGATAAGAAGAGGCTTTGTGCATCCAGTGCACTGGAATTACTGCAGTTATGTAGCCATTGAAAGGGTTAAAGGGTTGTTTTAAGTGTGTGTGTGTGTGTGTGTGTGTGTGTGTGTGTGTGCTTGCACGTGAGTGCGCACACGGTGACTGACACCTGTGGAGGTCAGAGAACAACTGGCTGTCTTCCATCCCACCATGTGGGTCCCAGAAATTGAACTCAGGCTTGGTAGCAGGTATCTTTACCTGATAAGCTATCTCACTGGCCTAGAACAGGCTGTTTCGGAAGAATTTGTTGTAGATTTATTTTATGAGCGTGAGTGTTTTGCTGGCATGTGTCTGCACTGCCAGGAAATACCATAAAAGGACATTAGCTCCCCCCAAACTGGAGTTAAATACAGTTGGGACGTGCCGTATGGTTGCTGGGAATCAAACCCAAGTTCTCTTAGCAGAGCAGCAAGCGCTCTTAATAGTTTAGTTATTATCTCATCTTTCCAACCCTGTTTAGGAAAAACTTCTGATGATACAAGAGAAAAATTACATGAAGCAGTAGGACATAGCACCGATCCTCTGATTCAGTTAATCAAGGAAAATTGTCACTTACACGCGTGTGTGTCTCAGTTCAGAGGGAAGCCTCGATTGGTAAATATCCCAATCTTATTTTAATGCAGTTTTGTTGTTGTTATTGTTGTTGTTGTTTTAAAGAGCCAGAGATGTCTTCCTTTGTGTGTTCTTGTTAAAACATATGTTCCTTTTACAGCTAGGAATGCAGGCAAAGTTTTTAAAGTCTCTGTGCTGTCCACCAATGAGATTCTGACTCCCAGGGAAAGCATCTGCTGTGCCTGCGCCTGCTCCCAGCTCTATGCTCTGGACCTCTCTTCCTCCCCGGGGCTGACTGGCTTCTAAGGAGCTATCAAGTCCGGGTGACTTTTGCAAGCGACACGCACAGCCAAGCGTAGCGCTCTCGGCCAGAGGTGGAAGGTCAGGGGAGGGGCCGAGCTTTCTTCTGTCCGGGAGCGAGGTCTGGGTTGCGCAGGGCGCCTGAAGCCCTTGTTCTTTCTCCGGCCATCCGCGGCCACCGCCCAGCCGGTAGCTACAGGGTCTGATGCAAAGTGCCTTGTCATTGGGAAAGCTGGTGGCTGGGACGTTGAATTCCATGAAGGAGTAGGACTGCGAGGGTGGGAAATGAACAGAAGCCCCTATTCTCGCAATGCACTCGGACTAGCCCACTGACTAGCCCGGTGAGGAAGTCGGAGGCGGGGTCCTCGCCTAGCCCACTAGGGCCGCCTGGAGTAGCCTGTTCCTCTTCAGGACAGCACCTGGGAGCCGGCAGCCAGCGCGGCAGGTCGACTTTGCTCCTGAGGGGACCCTCCGCCTGCGCCTTGGCCCTGCCCCTCCTGTTTCGTGATGCTGCGAGTCTTCATCCTCTTCGCGGAGAATGTCCACACCCCGGACTCCGACATCAGCGACGCCTACTGCTCCGCTGTGTTTGCAGGTAGGAATGCTGAGAGACACAGCCAGGGAACCAGAGTGGGATCCTGGGACGCGATCGAGGCATGCCTGAAAGCCAGGAAAAAGACTGACTAACTCTACCAGGCTGGTGTTGGATATTGAAAAGATACAGAGGAGAGGGGTGGGGCAACTCAGGGGAAACTGAGGCTGTGAGATAGAAGTGGCCTGGCTGTGTTTCAGCTGAGCCAGGGGTGGCATTTTGGTAGATCAGCAGGAGGACGGAGCCACTACCCCTCTTTTCTGGATTCCTTAAACGATCTCTTTCCACTTTTGGCTGCACTGTCTAGCAGGTCTCTGCTCCTCTCCCCGGAAGGCTTGGGCCTTCACCTATTTATAGCCCAGCACTTCTACGGGCCATTGCTCACTATCAGAAGCTAGACTAGCAGGCTGGCTGCCACTGGAGGCAGAAGCAAAGCCACGCCTCCAGGAATCCTAGCCCCCCCCCCCCTCTCTCTCTCTGTGTCTGTCTGTCTCTCTCTCTCTCTCTCTCTCTCTCTCTCTCTCTGTGTGTGTGTGTGTGTGTGTCTCTCTCTGTCTGTCTCTCTCTCTCTCTCTCTCTCTGTGTGTGTCTCTGTCTGTCTGTGTGTGTGTCTCTCTCTGTCTCTCTCTGTCTCTGCCTCTCTCTCTCTGTCTCACTGTCTCTGTCTCTGTCTCTCTCTCTCTCTCTCTCTCTCTCACACACACACACACACACACACACACTATGGCGGGGTGAGGGGGAGTTTAGCTGTCAGCAGCAGGATTCTCTCTTCATCACTCTTAACAGAATACTGGCATTGTATTTAGACTTCATTAGACTGGGGTCCCCTAATACCAGGCAGTGTGCGCCTCTCCAGTCGTGGGCTTTTCCACAACAAGCTTCAGCTGGGCTAAGCCTGTGCTTTTCCAACAGGAGATGAGGGCTGGTCATGTCTGCTTTCCCAGGACAACCCTTTCCCACCAGGACCAGACCAGGGCTGAGATCTTCATGATTTGTCTTCCAAATCTGAGACGTGGGGACCAGGAGTGGACCAGTTTCACTCTTCACCTGTAGGTTCTCTTCTCAGTCTTCCTTCCAGTCCAGTCCTATTTTCCCTGCATCCCTGGTCCAGAAGGTTAGAGTACCAGCCAGTCCGTGGCCATCCAGTGGCCATCCCCTTTCAGGATCACACTTGTCACTAAGGACGCACGTGTGCTTCCAAACATGTGTGCACCCTGGAGTGCATGGGACATCTGGGATGCCCACAGTTGCTCTCAGAAGGTGGGCTTGAAACAAACAGGGCACATGCGGATGTGTTGGGAGCACCCAGTGCTGAGTGCAGAATTTGGTGCACCTTTGGAGCGAGAGTCAGGATGGGCAGCCCGGAAAGCAGCCTGCGCTAAGAGGAGTGACTGAAGAACTTAGAGAACATTCCACATGCGCTCCCTCCCCCACGCTTTGACTTGTCCACCAGCTTTCCCTAGATGCCTTTGGAAACGAGCTTTATCAACGTGTTCCCAGCAGACAGGACAAGGTCATCTTCTCGTGTGGTTGGGGTGCAGACTTTTGGGTTTCCTCCCTGTATGCTCAACTCTGAGCAGACCAGCCAATGGCCTGGTTTAGGTGCCTGGCCTAGGGCTCTGGACTCCACGTGGTTTGTTTCTAGAGCAGTGGTTCTCAACCTGGTGGGCGTTGACTGGCATTGACCCCTTTAGAGTCAAGGACCCTTTCATAGGGGTTTCATATCGGATATTTACATTCACAACAGTAGCAAACTTACAGCTATGAAGTAGCCATGAAGTAATTTTATGGTTGGGAGTCACCAAAACGTGAGGCACTGTACTAAAGGGTCAACATTAGGGAGGTTGAGAACCAATACTCCAGAAGGTACCACAGGTGTTCTCTCTCCTCCTCCACTTCTGTTCCCTGGCTGAGGGAAGGGAGGATGCTATTTTGAAAAGCCGGCCATGTTCTTTGGGTATTAAGCTAGTCTCTGACCCTGACTTCTCACTCACTGTCTGGAAGTCCAAACAGCTTTGTAAAGGTACACCTCAGTACTGTGTGTCTTTGCTGGTCTAAAGCCGATTCTCCTCCTAGGAGCTTTGTCTCCTCTGGTGTCCACCCAGGCAGTCCTGATTTCCTTCCAGTGTCCCTGGCCTCCTCCCTTCATTCTCTGCCTGCTATTCACCCCACCCGCAGAGCAGCCTCAGGAGCTCTAGTGGGAGAAAGGGTAGGTAGGGATAATGATATGAGAGTGTTTTCTAGCCCACTGGAGGAAGTGCAGCTGATGCAGCCACAGGCCAGTCTTCATTTAGCCCCAGGGGGCCTGGCTGGAACCTTCCCTCAACCTCACCGGGGAGGAGGTCATCCATCCTCCTCCTCTTTGTTGCTGCTGGCCTCCTCTGGGGATGTTCCCCTTTCCTGGAGCCCAGAGCTCACGTTAGAGAAAGGAAGTGTATTTATCTGTGCTCTGAACCTGAGAAGCAGGCTGGCTGGAACTCACAATTCAGGATGTCATTGTCCGGCAGTAGAGAACAGGTTTCCCCTCCCCCAGGCCTTGGCCACCTTCCACCTTCTGCACTAGCCAAGCTCTTAGCCCATGTCTAAATTTGGCTGCCTTGCAGTATTTAAGCTTGCTCACCCTTCTGCTCCTCAGGGCCAGGTTGGTGAATGATTACAGAGCAGGCTCTGGCCAGGGGCAGACACAGGCAAACTGTGCTTCTGGGAAGCCTAGTCTCCCTAGCTGACGTAGCCCTGCCTTTCCAGTGACATGGTTAGGCTACACTATCTTACAGATTGTCTGTGGTACAGTAGTCATGCCTTGCTCGGTCAGCTCTAAAGGGTCGAAGGGAAGGTGAGGATTTGGCCCGGAAGACCCAGGGGCTTTGCCAAGGTGGTGCACTTGCCAGAGCATCCCCTCATAGAGGCCCACAAAGCAGAAAGGGCTCTGGAATGCCTGCCATGTGCCACCCACACCAGCCAGGCTGAATGCCCAGTGTTGAGCTGAGTCCAGGAAAGGGAGCATGGGGCTGTGAGGAGCACACTACAGGACAAAGGACCAAAGGTGGAGAGGCCTGACTGCTTCTACTATTTCTTCTTCCTCTTCCTCTTCTTCTTGGCTGGTTTTCTGAGTCATGGTTTCTCTGCATAACCCTCGTGGTCCTAGAACTTGCTCTGTAGACCAGGCTGATCTTGAACTCAGAGATATCTCCTTTTGCCTTTGCTTCCCCGAGTGCTGGGATTAAAGGTGTGCATCACTGTCGCTCCAGTTCTGACTTCTTAACTTGCCTTTATCACAAGGAAGGGAAGAGGACATTGGCTAAACATAAGCAATACATCATTTTCAGAAAGTGTTCCTATCAAACCCCACAAAGATCCTGTGGACAAGATCCAGACTTCTTAATACCTGACATGATTCTGAATAGAACGTGTAACACAGGGGCTGGAGAGATGGCTCAGCGGTTAAGAGCACTGACTGCTCTTCCAGAGGATCCGGGTTCGATTCCCAGCACCCACATGGCAGCTCACAACTGTCTGAAAATGCAGTTCCATGAGATCTGACACCTTCACACCAACAAACATAATAAAGTTAAGTAAATAAATAAAAAAAAAGTTTAAAAAAAAAAGAACGTGTAACACAAACCATAGCAAGCACAGCTGGTAGCAACTCTTATCACCCCACTTCACAGAGCAGAAAACTGAGGCACAAAGAGCTGAAGTGACTAGCCTGATGTCTGCTCCCGTGATGACTGGAGTTGGACTCTCAAGCCCAGGCAGCCACAGTTACAGTCATCTCCACTCCGCCTTTACTAGTTCTACTGTCCCCTTCCAAATCTAGGTCTGACTCAGAGACAAGAGGAGGAAGGGGAAGATTGGATGCAGGCTCTGGCTCCGACTGCATGTTGACCTGTACGCGCAAATCACCCCAAGCCCCTGCCACATCACGCAAGTGGTCTGGAGGTCCTCAGTTCTGTAGTGTGGCCTCAAGGACACATTCTCAGCTTAGCAAGCTTCTGTCCTGACTCACCTTCTCTGTGTCTGATAGGCCAGCCAGATACCACTTAGTGCAATTTCCAGGCGTCCCAGCCCTTGTGCTGGGCCCACTCAGAGTCCTCGTAAACCTGTGGAAGTACCTGCTTAGGACATGATACCCTAGTCCAGGATGGTGGGTCATATGTTTCTTTGGAGGACAGCAGGCACTCTTGGGGAGAGGACAGTGATGTCACTGTGGGCCTCTTCCCGAAATGAAAGTTGAAAAGGGGTGAAGACAGCTGGCAGCCTTGGGAACAACCCACTGTCAGAAAACTATTGAGGGAGGGGGGGAGGGAGGGGCAAAGAAAGAGGAGCCTGCGTCATTTCCAGCACAGCAGCTCTTCCTGGCGGCCACATAATTGTGGTTGTAGTTGGACTACGTGAGTGTTTGCATCCTTAGCAACATGAAAGTAGTGACTGGATTGGGACACCCAGAGCAGACACAGGAGAATGCATACTTCTGGAAGATTTAGGGAATGGCAAATGCGTCCTGAAGGAATCTGTCAACTCACGCAGTGCATGCCTCTAAAGGGTGGTGTCACCGAGCCAGAAGTCAGAACTGTGCCTCAAGGTTCTTGGTACTTAGATCTTGGGGAAACAACGCTCTAGACAGTGTGAGAAAGTGTCACTCCTCATCCATGGCCAGGCGCTAGAGCCACCGCGATTACAAAGAACAGGGCTACAAACTCCCCTGTGTCTTGGGAGCCTAGCCAGTGAGGTGACCTGGACTGCGCTATTGAGAAAAAGACATGTGCCCGTTGGGTAAGTGTGGGGGGGGGGGCAGTGTACCTCTCCCCCTGACCTGTACACAAGTGTTAGATTTGTGCTAAATGGGTTCCTTTGCCAGATTCGCTAATTTTTCAAGGGAAGAGGAGATTGGTATGGGAAACCTTCTAATGTTTAACTTGTGCACAGTTTTGCTGTGAAACATCATATTGTCCCCAGATAGCACATCTGTAGCCCGGGCCTCGGGACACCAGTGTATTTGATAT